CAGCCGCCGAAATAACTCAAAGCGAAGTAAGCATGACCCTCGATTGAACAAACTGATTCAGGATATGAGTGATTTACTAAACCTCGTTTCGGAGTTTATAATATCTGGTAAAAATAATCAGCCTTGTAATGGCAATATTGAAATTCACTCGGAGATTAGTGGTGATCTCTATGAACAATGTGATACTGAGAGACAAACGGTACATTACAATGAGGGCCATAATTCCGATTGCGAGTTAAGTTTCACATTCGATATTGAGACTAAGTTAAAGGAACCCTCGGTTCCCGAAACACCTGAGAAGTTTTTAAAAATGTTACGCGAGGTCCAACGCTTAGGCAGTACTTCTTGGTCAGACGTAAGATACGCTGACACACAAAAGACTTATAACTACTCTCCAGGTTTCGTAGACCTTGATACAAATGAAGAGGTAAAAATATACGACACCTTACGTCACTTATCGAACACCGAAAAATCTTATGCAGCCATAACTTTTTGCATTTTAAAACAAAAAGAAGTATTACAGGAAAATATCCGTACTCTTCTTAACTGGCCACTACATACAGAATTAAATTTTGAAAATTTGAGTAGTAAAATAAGACTTCAATCCAAACGGTGAATTGCATAAGGTTTTCTTCGGACCTTCTTCAATTAGTTTGCGGTCATCGTGCTAAAACTATTGAAATACGCCGGGAATCAATTAAAAGTCAAGTAAGAGATCCTTTTATAAAAAAGCCTCGCTAATCAGACCATCCACAGATTATATATTTGAGTCTGAACCATTTACTGCCGTATTACTGCAGAAAAGGCTGGGGGCGTTCGCAAAGTGTTTTGGCCTGCTAAATCGGATATATTCTCGCAAGCTAAATCCAATCAAATCAATAGCCGCCCCTCGCGGGGGCAAAGCATACGAAGACCAGTTGCAGTTCCATCGCGTGGAACTTACATAACCCCTTAAAGACAATACAATTCCTTTACTAACTACCCACCCTCGCGGGGTGGTCACCACAATAATGATCAAAACAGAGGTCAAAGCAATTACTTTCAATATGAGAGCCGTAATGTCAATGGACGAGGCTCCTTTCATAGCCGCCCCTCGCGGGGGCAAAGCATACGAAGACCAGTTGCAGTTCCATCGCGTGGAACTTACATAACCCCTCAAGGACAATACAATTCCTTTACTAACTACCACCCACCCTCGCGGGGTGGTCACCACAATAATTATCAAAACAGAGGTCAAAGCAATAACTTTCAATATACCGTAATGTCATAGCCGTAATGTCAATGGACGAGGCTCATTTCGGAATCGAGGCTCGCGGCCCGAACGCGGGAATAATCATCAATGTTCCAAGAAGTGGCAGAGGAAATAGGAAATACAAACAATGACAGGTTGACATTCCAAGCACCCGCTTGGAATGGCAATTTGCCATTGTGGAAGGAAAAACTCCAGCTGACCCCAGCTGGAGTTTTTCCTTCCACAATGACAGAGAATGGGGGCCCCGCAAATAATTTTAAAGTTGACTCAGGAATATCGCATTCCGTTTGCTCGAATCCCCCCACTTGTATATCCAATGTCAAAAGATCAGTTTTACACTCGCGTCTCACGAGAGATGTCTGCTGTAATATACAAAATGAAAAACAAAGGCGTTTTAAAAGTAGTTCAGCGCTCTCCAAGCTTTGTATCCCCAATGTTTCTGGTCTCGAAGCCCGACGGATCGGCTCGTCAAATATTCAATCAGAAAGCGTTAAACGGTTACGTGATGAGCGAAACATTTCACTTGATAAACATGTATCGCATTCCGGATTTTTTGCAGGCCCAAGATTGGCTATGCAAAATAGATCTTCCCAAGCCTATTTTCATTTGAGTATAGCAAAGTCGCACAGACGATTTCTACGCCTTGTATACGACCAAGAACTCTTAGAAATGACATGTCTCCCTTTTGGGTTAAGCACAGCGCCCAAAACCTTCGCTATACTGACGAATTGGGTGGCTCAAATGCTACGAATAAAAATGAATATAAGAATCCTAGTTTATCTAGACGGCTTTATGATTGTAAATCAAAACCAGAACAAAAATCTGTTGCAACGTTAAAAGATTTGCAGAAAATAGTAGGTTATTGAATTTCGCCAGTTTTGTAATTCCTCGAGGGAGACTCAATCATCGACAGATACTGATGTTAATGCACTCGCTCCCACAAAAACCAGCTACACATCAAGTACCAGACAATATTCTCCAGGAACTAAAGTGGTGGTTAAAGAATTGCCGGTCGTCATCACTGATACATTTTCCACCTCCAACAAACTTTCTCGTGACGGACGCGTCAGATCAGGCGTGGGGTGCACTACTAAATGGCCAGACTCTCTCCGGTGTCTGGTCTCAAAAAGAGTAAGCATTACACAGCAACCAAAAAGAAATGCTGGCTATATTTTACGCTCTTCAAAGCCAAGCCCAGTTGCTGCAGAAAAGTTCGCTTCTCATTCAATGCGACAACAAGACGGCAGTTGCTCATCTACGAAAAGGAGGTACAAAGTCGCTTCCTCTAATGAAAATAACTTATCAAATTCTAGATTTATTAGATCAGCACCAAATTTACGTCAGTATGCACTATATCCCAGGCAAGTACAACAATCATGCCGATCATCTGTCACGACTGAAACAACTGCCGGAATGGCATCTATTGCCAGCTTGTGTGGACAAAGTGTTTGCCAAGTGGGGAACCCCAATGATCGATCTGTTTGCATCAAAAACCGCGCATGTAAATTGCAATTACGTGTCCCGCGACCTGAAGGACCGTCAAGCATTATATCACGACGCATTCAGTGTCTACCACCCATGGGACTACCCACTGGCGTAGATATTTCCACCTCCATTTCTCATTCCGAAAGCACTTGCGCACTTGAACCAGTCATCGGGCATATTCCTAGTAGTTGTTCCACGTTGGGAAATGGTGTTTTGGAGAGCGGATCTGAGATCCAGAGCACTGACAGCACCATTTACTCTGAAAAATCCTCAGACACATCTAATCGACACGTCAACAGGGCTTCCACCTGTGATGGTCGAGGACATAACTCTCGAAGTTTGGAAATGTGGGGGTGCTCGTCCGCGATAGACTCGTGGAACACTGAACAATTAGGTTTGCTTAAATACTCTTGGCGGAAGTCTACTATTAAAACTTATGAAGTAATTTGGAAACGTTGGATTTCTTGGGCTAATTTTAATAAAGTCGATCCAAAACAACTGGGGCACAGTAAGCACAATTTCTATCGGATTTGTATTTGATTAATAAATTGTCATTTAATACAATACTGTTACATAAGTCTGTAGTTTCCACACTGTGTAATACTGAAACATCGAGTCGTCTTAGCTCTCATGTATTGGTAAAACATATTTTAAAATAGATTGCTTTTAAAAAACCAATCATTTCCAAACCACCGATATGGAACGTTAGTGAGTTAAAATCATTTTTAACTAATTATACAATAGACATCAATAATTGGTTTCAAATATCGCGTCTTACCGCGATATTGTTATTACTTTGTTCCGGTAGACGTATACATGACCTTACGTTGCTCACAGTAGATGCGGACATTGTATTATATCGGATGAAAGTATAATATTTGGCCACAATTTGGCTCTAAAACAGATAGCAGCAATTATCGACAATCGGGTTGGAAACTCTTGCCAAATATTAATCATCGTAATTTAAATCCCCTATTTTGGATTCAAAAAAATGATAACATCATTGACTGAAAGACTAATTGCAGCAAAATCATTAAATCTATTTTTAACCATAAAAGGTGTGGCTAAGCCTGCCAGTCGAACAGTGATAGCAGGTTGGGTAAAAACCTTGTTCAAAGAAGCAGGCATTGCAGCAGCCCCTGGAAGTTGTCGGTCTGCTGTGGCTTCCAAAAGCTGGATTGAAAACCATCCCTGTGACGAAATACTAGCCCGAGGAAATTGGCGATCTGCCAATACATTCCAGCGGTACTACAGACGAGAAGTAGTACCTAATAATCAATCTAAAAATTTAATTTGATTAGAAAAACTAATTCATAAACACATTTTGATTAAGTGAAATTTGTAATAATTTCAGTCTTCATAATAATTATATTCAATTATTTTTGTCGGAAAATAAATATATATATATATATATATAATTCATTCATACATTTTATTATTATTTACCCTATCGTCACATTGGCGTTTCTATAATAATAAGAAATTACAAATAGCGACACCAGGCGATAACAAACAGATCTCATAATAAAGCTTCCAGTGACGGTCAAGTGTTTTAATAGCAGCGTTTTACCTGAAATAAAACGCATATTAAAATACTTACCTCACTGGAAGCTTTCACTTTATATCTGCCTGGTGCATATTCACTGAGCCAATGATAAAAATGGCGCCCCAAACGTTTTACATCAACTAAAAGCGCACGACCGCCAGGTGTCGCTACTGGACCGGATGTACAAGGTACTAAAAAGAGGGTAAACTGGTAGAACTATGACGGAAACGGAAATGCCTTCTCATAATAAAGCTTCCAGTGAGGTAAGTATTTTAATATGCGTTTTATTTCAGGTAAAACGCTGCTATTATAGATATGCAGGTATAAATATATCCTTTCAAATGTTGAGTAAGAGAAAAGTTGTTGCTCGCTCCTAACAGATGGCGTTGTTTTGTAATTTCCTCCAAAAGCGATTGAGATATACCTCTATTTCAGTATATTACAATGTACTCTGTGTATAAAATTAAATCACTGCTCAATTTAATCAAATGATGATTTATGGTGATCTCTCATTTCTCTTGTTAGTACCTACTTATAAAAAAAAATTGCAGTCTGTGGTTCCGAACTTACGAAGTCATTTTTGTTTTTATTGACACTTGACAATTTATTAAAACTGTTTATAATAAGTACTTATTTGTAAATATTCTAAATCCTTTATAATTGGCCATTACAAGGCTAACTTAGCTTTGAAAGCACAGGACTATTTCTAATTGAACTATGTTGGAGGTTATAAATGGATTTCTTCTGATATATTTTGTTATTTTGTGCTCCCTCAACGATTTAGTGCCACACTTGGTAAAGCCAGTAAGTAAATTAAGAACGCCGTTATGAACATAAAGCAAATGTAAACTTTGAAGTATAAGTATGTAATAATTCTAACATTTATGTTTTAGATAGCGGCATGTTTCGTTAGACCATCTAATGAAGAGCGCTCAGTATGGGCTGAAGTAATAAAACTCAAGGCTGAACAAAAAAGAATATCAATGAAGATGAATTTGCTGCGTATTCAAAACTGCAGCGTAAAATTAACAAACTAGAAGGTCAGCTAAAGGATGGCTCACAGACACGCATCAATAAGAGTTTAGCTATCAAAAGTGCTATCCAGGTCGCTCTTCAAGCAGTTGTAGCGTTTACGACTGTTGTCTCTGTTATTTGGTTCAGAAGAGAACCAATTGTAGCTCTAAAAGGTGATCTTTTCCCGTTGACAAACATACTGAGCTATCCAAGTGATATACCTAATGCTATTTCAACCCATGTGTGGGTTGTAATATCTAATGTTTCAATTAGAACTCTATTGAAACCCATAACCTCATAATAATAATAGTTGTAAGATTATAGTCTACCAATGATGGAGAGAGTGGCCTCTCCGGCGGTGGTAATGGGTGATGATTGCCTAATTTATTCGCAATGTATTCATTTGAATCGTTTTGTAATGGTGTTGTAATAAAATTAAGAAATGTTGTTGATTGCTGTTGAGTGTTTTTTGTTCAATCTTATCTAATCTGATCAAAAAGATAACTCATTTTCCTTCGAAAACTCTCAAGAGGAGCCGGTATCCATATAGTTGTACTTTAACCTCACTAATACTTTGTGGAGAGCTCAGATGTAAATATTATGAACCCTAACATTTTATCTGACTAATGGTAATAATTTTGCTGTTTTGATCTGGTCCAGCTACATATCTGCTTTATTCATTTCTGCATCACTGTTAGGTAAATTGGTAGAGAATGCCTCTAGTATTAGGTCTGTCCTAAAATAACTTTTAATATAATTTATTCTTCTATTCAATATTTTAAACGGAATGGGTACCTGAGATACTGCTATGTAGGTAATCCCAAAATCCTCCCATAACACAGGTGACAGGATGTTCCTACCATGGAGTCTTTGATCAATCATTTTGTATGTATTCTGTTTTTTTTTAAGTACATCAATAATGTGATATTTTATGTACATGTTTAAAGGTAAATAATTTTCAACATTTGTAAAAATAAAAACGATAAACAATGCAACCTAGGTGAAACGAAGCAAAGAATTCAAATTAAAATCGAAAAATTAAGATATTAAAATAAAAATATCTATAGTTAGTGCCAGTTCACTTAATACTAAAACTAAAATATGTGAATCTAATTGCCAGTAGATAAGAAGGTAAACTAAAAAGGCCCTATGTCAAACTGCATAGTATAAATATATCAGATACCTTTCACAGGTACTTATATAAAAATCCCGTGTCACGATGTTTATCCCCAATGAACTCCGAAACTATCGAGTCTATGGTCACTCAGGCCACATATGATTTAGGTAAATTTTGCATTCTGAGTAATTTGGTCCAACTTAAGTTATAGAAAACTTTTATCTCTAATGTTATCTTCCAATTCTTTTATAATTAAACGACTATAATTATAGAAAATGTGTAAACTAATAGTTATAATATATACTTACTAATTTTATCAATAGAAAACTACGTCATTTTCTGGTAACTACGTCGCAATCTATGGCGACATATTTTCATTATTTTTTTTTCTTTGACCCTTTCCCTCCTTACGGTACTTAGAAGTACCTCCACATTTTTCGTCTAATAACTTAGTACGAAAACATTTTACGTTAACTACAACTGTCCTTTGGAGTACCGTTTCTGTAAGCCAATCACAGCGTGTTATTTGAATTACCGCGTAACGTTGCCGAAGAATTTGAATTGAATTCATACAACCATGTGATTGCTGCTGCATTTTATCACGATATTAGTGTAATTAAAAATAGTAATATAATTATTTTTGTAATTATATGTAAACGTATATTAAACCACCAAATACATCAAGTTTTATTATACGCTCTTTCTCTTGTACCTATTATATTATTAGTAAAGTCAAGAGATAATAGTACTACTGTGAGTTAATCGTATAATAAAAATAGTGCGAGTAATCTTGTGTTGCACCTGATGGCCGTGACACTCCTGAACGGGCGTACCGAATAACAAGCGAAGACAGTCGTTAATACCGCAGACATCGCGGGCAGGAGTGGAACTCCGCTCTCCTTCGTACCGCGCCCTAGCGTTGTTCCCCTAAGAAGCTGAGTTGACTCACTATTAGTATTTATTACACATTTTGTAGTACCCATAACACAAGCTAAATCTTATCATGGGAGTTCAACTACTATTTGTGCTCAGAATATTTTTTATTTTTATAAAATTTGAATTTTGTTGTGATTTGATTTTAATAAACAATTTGTAAATATTCTTACAAATTCAAGGAGGTAACTATTTTATTATCTAATCCTGGATACCTCATTACACTCTAAAACATTAGGAACCTAAGCAGTAGGAACCTAATCTTGATGGATGATTATAAGTCTGGGTAGTCTTGATTTATTTGATAATGAAGCCTTTATCTTGTAGATTAGACGAGGAAGTGGAAATCTAGGTCAATTATCAAAACCACCCACGAAATCTAATTGAGATACCCTTAATTATTTTTGGAGTCAGTTGAAGTCAGCACATGATTAACTCTTAATTTTAATTGTATTGTGTAAAGAATTAAGCTTATTTCAATGAAAAGTCAATCTGAATACCTACCTACCCATATTGTACATTGACGTCACTGCTATCTGATTTTGCTGATAAAGCTGCCAACCATGGCCACTTTGATCCAAAATCCATTCTCATACACAGTTCTTCGCTCTGTAGGGCACGAGCAGAAATGCTTATAACTCTTTTAAGCGCCTAGAGATAAGGTTTCTTGTTCTAACAATGTTCATAACTATATTTAGCCCTTTATCTGTATTTTAATATCCGGTTCAGCGGTGATAACATTGTCAATAGAAATTTTTGTTGATACCAAGTTCCAGTTATGTTTACATTACTCAACGATATACCGCTGTGTCAACGTCCACTGTTCATTTATGATATTTCTGTTAACTTGTGTCATCGATCGAGTTATAATAACGTCAGGAGACATAATAAACTTCATTTTTTCGTTGAAAATAAGGAACTGTTAAAATACCTCTTTTTAAACATTAAGATTTTAAAATCTTATTATCATTCTTCTGTTCTTGTTATCTTCAAGGTTTATAATTGTAGTCTTTATTTAATAAAATTCTTTAAAATTAAATCAAACAAGACACGTGGTAATTCTTTTTAATCAACGGATGTTCTACAATAGTAACTGTTATGTATATGAAGTGTAAAGCCCTGTTTTGTTATACTTGATTGTTTCTAACATACAAAGTGAGCAGGTAAACCAAATTAACCCATGAACGTTACGGATATTGAAAAGTAAATAAGATAAAACAAATATGAAAATGGGAACAATAAGAGACATAAGATGAAATATATTAGCTCACGTTACTTGTCTGTAAATCCAAATACAATAAATCCCAAGAGAAAAAATCCTGTATACACGAGGTACAAATAGCACACAGTGACCACGACTTGTTAATTTTTATGATAACTTCCTAACATAAGTGTGTAAATAAGAAGTTAGAAGTATTATATTGTGTTATTCATCAACCGTCATTCGGTTCCTAAAAGTACGTTGCCCTTGTATAACTAGTAATCTTTATATTATGCATTATATTGTAATCTATTTTCAAGATACCGAGAAGGCAGTTTACATAATTATTAAACATTAGGCGAGTTTGAACAATACAACCGAATGGAACAGGTTTGCTTGTAAATTATTTAAAGGTTCGTGGGTGTGTGGGTAGGTATGGATATTGTGACGTGTAAATGAAACGATTATATAATTATTTAAATATTGTTATTTATTAAACAAATAATAGTACTTTATACTCAGTCCGACAAAAGTCCAAAATGTGTTCTCTAAATTAACATAACCATCAAAGATCTACTTCTCGTCTGGAAACCTTATTATGCCTAATTTATAAATCACTTTATCTTAACTTCAATATAATTAGATAATAATTAACATATTAGCAATCATAAAAATATGATTGAATTAATCCAAAAGATGTTTCCAGACCGAATAAAACTCTTTATAAAAAGTAACTTAATTTTGAACGAGTGATCCATTCACAACAATTACCATTCGTTCTATTTATATTTCAAGTTTAATATTTATTAGTCGTGCACGTTACTTGTGTAATTTTATATAAATATTATTTTACAAGTGTAATTTTATATAAATATTATTTTTTTCTTACTGAACTCGGTAAGTAATACCTATCAAATTTTTACCCTTTTGCACATATAAAAACAACCAAATGTGAAAAAAATAAATTTATGGAACTCTATTTAAAGTTGGGTAACCAAATACTCCTGTTTTTATACGTCCCGATTTCTATTTTCCACATTTTTTTTTACAAAAAGCTTTTAATTTTTACATAAAATTTGTCAGTTATCATTAATGTAATTACTTCTTTCCGATGACATTTCCACATTTTCTTGGGCCTTATAACATTCACAATTTCTGGGTCAAGCAAGAACAATACGAAAGGGACTGAAAGGTACATGCATTACGCAATCTCCTAAATCATATTTTTTTTTTATTAATATCTATCTGTAATTGCAGTTTTCATTCAAAATACACTGTAACTCATTAAGATGAGATAAAATAAAATAATATTATTAAGAAATTAAAATTACACTTGTGCCGAAGGGTGACATAATACCATGTCAAATCAGAATAATGACAAATGTATGATCATACATTTCACAGAACAATATTTGTGTATAAAATATCGCCATTGAAATAACCGGCGGTAATAAGCCGAATGATAATTATTGTGACGTATTTTTATAACAGTTAACATTTGTAGAAAATTAAAATAATTTTAATAACAACGAGTTAAATTTTATGAGTTAATTTTCATCCTATAAAAAGGCGGAAAGAAAGCGTAAAAAAAACAAAAAAATACCTAAAAAAATTGACAAAATGACCCCCGGGTTAAAAAAAACAGCTTCTCGAAGCTATGGCTTGCGTATGGGATAACAACTATAAATGGGACCACTGTATAACATTTTTTATTAAGTCGGATACTATTTGCGCGACTGCATACATTTTAATTTCCATAACTAATATTTACAAGCTCTATATCACAGCTTACGTTTTAATATGTTGTGTGCTGAGACTACAGAATATAATGAAGGAATAAAAATAAACTCTTGTGCGTATAACTTTGCGGTAGCAATTGACTTACAATACAACATAAAGGACGTAATATTCAGGAAACTTAAATTGGACATTGACTGACTAGTCCATTAAGGGCGACCTCTAATCGTTGCGCACGCGCAGCTGAAGGAGTTTCGACCTACCTAACTATTAGTACTTGCTATTGTAAAAGCCTTTTGACACATTGACTTACAAAAATAGCTAAAGCAATAGTTCTAACCAAAGTTCCCAAAACAACATTTAATTTTTATTAACATTGGCACTAATAGCAAATTATGTCACACATGTGACCAGCGCAACTTACTAAATAATTAATCCTCCGATGCCAAATAAATGACTAACGTAAAATATGGTTTAAACACTTAATGAGACTAGAAACTAATGACTAAATGAATTCAAGATTGTTTGGAATTATAATTTCTTCGTTCTAGAAAAATCTTTCTATTTTCAAACATCAATGAGTGTCCACAAAGTTGAGATTAAGATTTGTTTTTCAGATGTTTGATCGTTGTACGATGTCCTTATTGATGCCAAACAGTTTTTATAATCATAAATAATCTTTCATGAGCCCAAATATTAACTTTTTATTTATGATTTATTTAGGTACTTCGATAACGAATAAGAATATTGTCAGTCGAATGTTAATTTACTACGTACTGTTTACATAGTGATTAAAAACAGGAAAATTGTAGTTTGCACCATCAATTACATTGTTTACTCCTAGCACTGTTGATAAATAATTACTTGTTGACCAAACTTAATTACAGGATTAACAATTATTGAATAGTAAGATGGAAGTTTAGTCAAGTAGAAACACCAGAAAATAGAGACATAGTATAAAATCTAAATGGTTCCTGTCTTCATAAATTCAATCATAATAAGTACATTCACCAATCAGTGGTTATTACAACTATTTGATCTCGCATCATGAGATCTATTCTCTACAACAGAACATCGGGAAGAACAACCAAACAATTTAATAAAAACACAGGCAAGTTTATCCTTGTTTAAAAATAGTACCGGTCAATATTCATGCCACGTAGGAGAATGAATTACTGGTGGGATTGATTCTCAGACACAACTGCTCACCATGCCCCCATATTGAGGAACATTTTGTCCCAAATATTGGTCTAGGAATCTATCGTTCGACACAGAACGCGGGGTTCGCACACAAGTAACAATAATAGTTACCTAAGTGTTCTCATAAAAGGAACTGTTAAAGTGTGTTGTAAGAAGATACACAACCGCTTCGTACGTTGACATCATGATGGCCGTGTTCGGTATCTGACGCACTAGCTGTGTGCCTAAGCCCCTGGAAAAATACCGGAGTTATTATTAGATAACTGGACAGATTGCAAGAGATTGTTTTTATTAAAAGTCCGTGAGATATTTACCTATAGACTCCGCGGTACCCTTCCTCTTTGAAGACGGTGTGTAATGTCTGCCAGAATTTACGGTACTTGTCGCCTTCTTCTCTAAGACGTGTTCGTGCCACCTCTGTGAAAAAATTATGTTTTTTTTTACATTTTCTTTTTGAAAATCAACATTCGTTTGAGTACGTTAGCCTATTTGCATATTAAGTCATTATCATACTAATGTAGCCGTATCAAATGACAAAATTCTTCGACTATTGATGTTTGATTGTTGCCACACACTGCAAGTAGTTGATGCGCACAACGCCTGTTTTTAGTTAGTATTACGCGTTTAGTTTACCGTTATTTTTTTTCTATGTAGTTATGTCTGTGCAAAATAATTATAGCATAATAAAAATATATTTTGGAACAAAGTTCCTTATCGCGTGTTACACTCTCTGAGCAGATGGGAGCGAGACCGAAAAATGTGTAACAATACTTTTTTCCGACACTAAGTTTAAAGCAGACCGTATAGCAGACGTCTACTAAAAAGCGAAAGTAACTTCGTTCCGACCGGGGGTCCATAGACCCCTCACGCCGTTTTTTCAATAACTCCTACAGAGAACGGGTTTCAACAACTAGCATTACGATTGTTCGAAGGATAATGCGGATGGTAGATTTTGTACTGATTTTTTAAATATCATTGCGTCTGCACGCACTCATAGGTCAACAAAAATATAAAAATGGCGCCGTGAAACGGTGTAAATTCGCTTATCTGCATCATAACATAGCATTATGCATGTATAACACTCGGTGAACACTCGCCATATACCTAAATAGATAGTCTTATGTACTTGATGCTATCTGATTTTAGAAGACTAAACAACAATATGTTTATATTAAAATATATTTAAAAAAATCTTAAAGTGCTGACAATTAGTAGCAGGAGTATTTTTGATTTATTGGATTGTAATGAAATACCCTCACACATCTAAACCACGGCCGTCTGATCCCAAACTAGTCTGTACCTGTACTATGGTAACCAGACTACTGATAAACATACTTATATATTTCTAAATACATACATATTTTATAGATAGAATTTAGACCCAGACACAGAACAAATGATTGTGCTAATGACATTTGTCCTGGATGGGAATCGAACCCACGACCTCTGGCACCAGGTGAGCAGTCAGAATTACAATAGGCATTAATGCTAATTAGATTTAATTACATTAATTGCGAATTCTTATGTCTTAGCCTGTTAATTGCTAATGCTAATATTATTTGCTAATGTTGCAATTTCATAACTTGTAGTTAAGTTAACTAAGTTAACTTTCATAACACTAAGTATTAATTTTACAGAAATAACTTATTTTTTTTATATTTTAACTACCTGCAATTGTCGCGAATGCTAATTTATTTTCTTCAACATTATTATTGAAATAATGAAATATAGGGTTTGTTCGGGATATGCTAGCATTCGTCAATTCGTCACTTAGCACTACTATTTACAACTTCTTATTAACAAATTCTATGTAGTAGTGATGGAATAATTAATCTTCACACTCATATTTAATTGTAAATTCTTAATTAACATTTGGCAATTAGCAAATTAATTGTAATCGTGAACGTATACGAAATCTCATCGCTTCATTTACATTTCATAAAGTGCGTGCTTTCTCATTCGCATCAACGCGAAGACTAAATTTAATTTAATAAATCTGCTAAAACTGCTAATGCTAAGTGAACGAAAAATGAACCGTCTGCCATTCGGTCGAAACAGTGACCAAACGCGTTGCGATTGATGCTATTTCTGAGAGTGCAAGGGATTTTATTCTCTATTTTAAAAAGTATTTAGGATTGTTTATTGTATACGTAATATATTTTTAATATCATTCATTGAATTTTAATTCCCGAATATTTTATTTTGTTCGGTTAGGTACGTAAGTTAAATAAAGGTAGGTACGTGTTTATTACTAAATAATGTAATGTTATTTTTATGTAAAAAAATATAAAACGTGTCATCTCTTGCACTTATCATATGAATGTAAGATTCGAGAACTCGTGATTGAGTCACATGGCCCACTACAAAAAAAATACATCTAAAAGCGAGAACTGTTGTTTTTACAGTTAACTGATATTGTATTTGTAAACACAATATTGTTATCGCTATGTAACTAGTTAGGACCAATAATATTTTTTATATTTAAATTGACACAAAGGCCTTTTAGGATGTTTTATAAAACAAATCTAAACAATGAAATTGTGTTTCATATTCTAATCCTATGGATGGATAATTATATTCATCGTAGTAGTCTTTTAACAACAAAACCAAATAGTGAAGATTTATCTATTAAATGGTGAATGCTCGCTTTTATTTATATTACTATAGCGTACACTCCCACTTTTTCGATGGGCACTTTAAAAAATTAAGGTATAGCTCCCCCCCGACATCCGACCAGCACCACCTCGATCGATGTCGAGTTTTGAGACGGATGGCCACAGGGAAACCCGTTTGTAAACCAAAAAAAGTACGACGGGGCCCCGTTTGAGAGAGAGAGGTTTGCCCCCGATTCATCGCCCGCGCTGAACCACTCGCGTCGCCCCGGGGTAAACCGGGGCGAGGCGCGCTGGAGTTGATGTAGTGAGAGTATACACTCGAGGCGAGGCAAGGCGGTGCTGGTCGGGTGGCTCTAAGGAGCTATGACGATGATGATGATGATTAATGAACGTTCTTTATCTACGTGGGGAGGTTAGGGACGGGTCAGACAGTGGGCGGGGCAGTACGCCAACGCGGCGTGAGCAGGTCCTCATGTAGTAGTCTTGGTCTGAGTATTGACATAAAAACAACTATCCCACGTACACGGGAAGTATGCCCAAAACCCCAAATCTATTGTTTACGGTTTTTTTACAATTATTCCAAAAAGACAAAAAGTAATGATTAAGAACCTGGCAACAAAACATTTGGGTCCAATAAAATTTTGACATTTTACAATTTGCACACTTTACTAAGCTGATTAGAAACATGGTGATCTAGTGCGTTTTGTTTTAAAAATTATTAGTGATAACTTTGTTATATGCCACGATGAAACGAAATTTCATTAGAACAGATAAAATAAGGATGGTCCAAAAATGTGTAAGTATTAAGTTGAAAAGCGCTGACACAAAATAATATTTTTATTTATGTACGTACGTATGTCATAAAAAATAGAAGTAACAATATGAATAATTATGATAAAAATATTAATGCTCACCATGTGGATATGCGATGCAAGAAGCAACAGTTTTCGAGAAAGCGCCAGCTGCCATAAACTCTAAGAAATCCCTGGGAGAACGATGATCACTAGGGATACCGTCCACACTCCGGGCTGCCATCAATCTGGCTTTAACACCTTCGTACAGCACGAAGTGGACTACTGTCTCACTGATGCCCATATATGAAGCGGTTATGCCCTTGTAGAACCCTCTGATACCCTGAAAGCATTCAATTCTTCCGGTCAAACTAAAAGCTTTAACTTGTTTGCATTTCGAACGCTATTAACATCAACAGAGTAGCAAACATATTAGCTGTGTTATTTATCTAATCGTCAGATGGACATATAAAGACTAACTAAACAGATAATGTTCAAGTACCGTTTTAGCATATATCCTCTTAATACACTGCAATGCTGATACATTTTGTCCATCCAACTGCAATCTCGTCTTAACAAACCAAATTGGATTGGTCATCGTACAAGAGACAAATCCTGAAACATTTCCCAACCATGTAGTAGTGTATGACAAACACTCTAATATCTGTCATAATATAACCGTTTATGAAAAGGGTCACGAAAAAAAGACACTGCCGTAAATTAGTGTTTATTTTAGTCTTTATTTTCATGTTTATAAAAACATATTTAGATTAATCATAATGTAAAACTAGGTATTTGAAGAACAGCACAAAACATGTTTACCTGCAGCGCTTGCTGCGGACAGATGCACTATGGGTGTGTCCGGTGATATGTTTTCATTCAATATCGCCTTCGCTTGTGAATATGTGCAAAAGTATATGGCTCTAGACGGTGCTACGCCAACTATGTTAGGTCCGAGACCTTTGAACAACGCTTTAGGTCCTTCAGTCTGAACAATATGTCTGGAAAAAATAAGTTCGTGTCAATAATTCACCTTTGCACCGATAATTTATCGCCTCGGTTTATGACGTAAATGGATATCTCTTTCATTTAGATAAAATTTTATTGTCAACATGAGGCTATACAGAATCTCTTTGAGGTCGAATCACAACCTCGGGGAAGTTTAATTAGAAATTAATGTTTTTATTCCGAGTTGGCAACAGATACATCCGAGATAACATATATTTTACTAATATGAATGGCAAACCGAGACGCCAATCAGCTGGTATTGGCACCCGGCGCTAATCTGCAAACAATGCTCACTAATGGAGGCACGAATCCGTACCACGTTCACTTCTCGTGACACTTGGGCATCATAGCTCTTATCTTTAATAGATACACACACGCATGATAACCGGGCCATTTTGTAGCGATACCAGTTTCTTCTGTACACTGATGCTTGGTGATTTAGGCATTCTTGAACCTATCGGTTTCTTTCTTCATACTCGTAAGTATTTTTTCATGATGATTTGCAATGAGACGGATCGGTACTCAGCATCGCTGTAGCCTCAAATATGAGAATGATAGTGCCAAACACACACACACATTTAGTAAACATTTACACTGAACTGATTAATTACATCAGAAATATAAGGAATACGTAATATGCAAGCTCAATGGAACTTGTAAGAAAAAAACATCGAGGCGACACGATTGCGTAATTCTGATTAAAATAAAGTGGTCTTACCTGATACACTGAATAAGGCTCACTCTGGACGCTGTCCTGGCATGTCCAGCCCGCGCACACTGCTGCACCTGACAATTGTACGACATCAGCATACGATCTGCTTGCTTGCTGTATGCGAACATCGCGCCCATGGTTCGTCTGTAGCCCCATTTGGCTTCCTGCATTACATCACGGCCAAAATTATTATAACCATCGCTTGTGTCAAGCTTACATGCTTTCAGGGAAAAGGGTTGATGACTTATGTACCGACAAAGCAAACAGCAAATGAACGATCGTGTTAAACACATCAAGTCCCGTGGGATTGCTATTCAACTAAAAGCTGACATTAAATGTATTTAACTATCTATTTGCGCTATTCAATCCTTTAATAAAATAACAAAATAAAATGTATCGCTTACTAATCTACATGAACATATAAAAAGCAATTGTACAGGTGCGCTTTACACAAGTGATGGAAACAATAGAACCTACCAAAGTTAATTTTGGGCCAATGTTTCCATACTGCCAGCTCTAAAGTTAAAACATTTGATGTCATCGCCTGTCGACCGACTTAATCTTTTGGCAGAGATTGCTTCGATGGATTACTTAATATAGAAATTGACTTTTTAATATTATAAAAATCTATTTTCAATCTTTAACCACAGAAAGCTTTGAAATTTAACTTTTACTATAAACAATCTATTTAAATGACCCATAAAATGTGAATCCACTTGGGAAGAATTCGAACCTAAAAATTGATCAACTCTAACATATTTTTTGCAATGCCAAATGTAAAATAAACATGTAAGTAGATAAGCAAAGTATATAAATATTAAACCAGTTATAAAATAGACAGCTGACATCTTCCTCATAATAAATACAGGTGTTTATAGTTATCTTTTTGATCACGATCAAATACTCAATTAAATTCGTAAAAGGGTTCGTACTTCATCGGAAACTCTAGACTACATCATATCGATTGTCAAAACTATACAGATGTATCCTTTTGATGATCGTACCATAAATAATAAAGTTTATTAATTATTAGAAAGAATCAATAACAACTTAAGTGTAATTAGGGCAATATAATCTACACAAGCTCTAGTGATACTATCAAGGGTCATAGACAACTGTTTTTTTTTAACTGAATTTCGAAACTGAAAAATCTGAAATTGTATTATCAGATATCAAATCTGATAGTATATACACAAGTAGTTGTATTAGAAACCTTGCTTGTTCTCCATTTCGAGCATTTATTTCTTGTTACTTCGTACAACAGACTAAATTTTATATATTTTGTACTTATGTTGCTTTAACAAATAACATGACTTCAGAATAAGATAACACATACATCACATTTAAAAGAGAATTGTTTCCAAAATTCGTTAACTTATTTGTACCAGACATGCGAATATTATCGCTGTATAAAAATAACTACTTCGATCAATCAAGCTGAGGAAAATAACTAAACAATCATGTCTGAAGCCTTAAGGCGTTGATTGATATGAGATGACCCTGATTGTTGTATGTTTTGGAAATGTTAGGGCTTCAGTAGACAATAAAAAAAAGAAAGCACATGTGCCCTTTATCGTCCAAATGTTCCGTAAAAGAATTTTCCTATACGTGTGCAGTTACGTTAGTGAGTTTTCATGCGCACTTTCGGCGGTACACGGATTGTAATAGCTCCTTTTTGTGATCAATTACTTAATATCAAACAACTTAATCCCCCATGTGAGTTTCTATATCAATTTTTTTACTGATTTCGCGGGCGATACTATCTGTAATACCTACGATATGATTACATAAGACAATTTAAAGTTTCGCCTTAGTACAGATAATGATAACGTAGTATGTATGATCACCTCAATCAAAATATGTAGGCAGGTATATAGCGAAAGCGTAATCTAAGTATGCAGTTTGCATGCCAATAAATGCTTAATGCAATTTCAACTTGGTATGCACAATTCTATTTATAGAATAGCCTTGAAAATAGTTAGCTTCATACGTAAATGACATTGTCCAAGGTCATTAATAACTCTATAATAGACTACGCAGCAAAGTACAACATCACGCAATATGTGCAACTGTTTGTTACATGGTTTAAGGATTATGTATTATTATAACCAATTGAATGAAGTGCTTTTAAATTTGGCTACAAATTGTTTAAATTGTATCAAAAGGTTTGGTAATGTTGGTTTAATGCTCAATTTAGTTCGCTATAGCTATTTTGTAGTATATTAGGAGTACGGAAATCTAAGGCGACTTCTATGGTACTGGATAAAAGATTAGATCAAATATGCAATTCATTACGTTTAAATGTTACTGGTTATGCAAAGTGTCATAAGGACAGGTTGAAGTGTTTAAATGGTAAAATAGAGTAACACAGGTTATGTGAGTTAGGCACACTAATTTGGCTTGTTTAATGAAATGGGCGCCCATATTGGATTCATACTTATAAAAGCTTGTAAAAAAGCAGGCTTTCTATTATATTTTAATTACAGTTTGTGAAACTAAGAAACCAAGCTTTAAACGAACTTAAGAGCAGAAAATAATAAAACACGTGTTATTCGCTATACTATTATAACTGTAATTTAATAGATTACTATCAAAAAGTGTTTCTAACATTTAATTTTGGTGTTCAACTCGGTGGTAGTAGCGTTTTTTGTTCGATTTGATTTTAAAGTGTGTGTTTTTAACCATAATGTATTTTCTTATATTATCATTATTACAAGATTAAAATCTTGTTTTGTCTTAGGTGCGTTTAAAACTTGAAAAATGAATACAAAGTTTTAGTACAATTTTGTATGGGAATTTGTACAGAGCTCTGTTAGCGTATTAGGATATAAAATTTAAAAGCAGGAACATGTGAAATATGACGGTCAAAACTCAAAATCCAGATAAAAATATCCAACAACGGTGTTTTAGGTAACTGGCCCATTAATTCTTGTCTTGTAACCAAGTTTCCCAGATGCTTGTTTACAGCTATATTAGTACGAGTCAGTCACTGCACTTAAACGTTTGTAAACATCCTTGAAATATTTTTAGTGAATAACAGATCGTTCCGTCGAACTCGTAGCGGACAAACTAGAACACTCCAAAGAGCATGTTTGTTTTGTGTCCAGTGATACATGGTTACTTACTCATTTAGATTCTAAATATAACTGATTAAGATAAGTCTTGTCCGTATAAAGAACGATTACGAATACGCAGTGTCACCACCCCTATTCCTCCCGTGGGTGTCGTGAGAGCCGACTAAGGGAGAAAACTCTGCAGTACAATAGCACTGCAAAGAGAAGGAAAACTTGAAGAACACCCTACTTACTAACCCGTCTGACCAGCGTGGTTTTGTTCCTCATTGGTCCAAATTAAATGCAACTACATGTGCCACAGCGAAGCGTGGTAGGGAACAGCTGGTAATATACAAATGTTTTTGAATGTTAGGGGCCATGCTCATGTACATAGGCTGGCTCGACCGGAGTGAAACCACGGTCTCACTGAAAATCGGTGCTAAGCATTTCATTCGTTAGCTTTTCACCGAGTGTGAGAGTTTACCGGAGGCCCTTCTTACCTCTAATTCTGGCTCAATTCTCACTCAAAGGAGGGGTTGAAGGCAAGATTCTGAGGTGAGCGACTGTCACGGCGGGTATGCACTTTTTTACTCTTAAGTTGCAGGTGCAGTGATCCATCTGCCCATTCAATGCAATGCACGTAATGCGTCTAGCAAGTTCGCGAATAGTGATTTTGATCGTTGTATATATGTACAGCCACAATAACGTACGGAACATGCACATCAGTCGTTGGACTCGTGCCAATGCTAGGTCACTAGCTCAATAATTTCTCTTTGGTTTGTAGCTAACAAATAAGTAGTAAACCTGCCGTAGTGAAGGCCGATGTTTAATAATTCAATGATTTAAGCATAATTAAAAATCGTATATGACGTTTGAATTATATACATTTTCGTTTATTTTCACTCTTGTTCAAAATCGAACCAGCACTTGTTAGGTCATCACTAATCACTAATTGGCTACTTATCGTATAGAGTATGATATCCGAAAATAACCTGTCCTTATCTTAAAAGCCGAAACGAAAACAAAAAGTCCCTGCTATTGATCCTCAAATTGTGGAATATTGTGCTTTGATTACAAATTACAATGCCAGGTCCGTCGTCAAAGGAATGTTAAAACATTTTTTCACCCCACTAATATAAAAAAATGTTTGACAGGCCGTTTCACCAGTTGTCAAGTATATTGGTGTCTCTTCTTTGCTGTAAACCGTATCTTAAACATTAGCTACTCGTTTGGACCACTTTAAAATATAAGGTCTTTTACCTGCCGTAACATTTGCGCCAAAGGACAAAATACGAGCTAGAACTAAGGAGGATTTATTGCTTTAGATGTTAAATGTATTATGTTAAATCTTTCTACTACATGAAGCGTTGTGTTATATCGAATCACTTTTTTTTTATAAAAGTATGACCAATCTCATATCATCATCATCAGCCTATCACAGTCCACTCCTGGACATAGACCTCTCCCAGTGCACGCCACTTAGATCGATTTTTGGATTCTCGCATCCAGCTCCTGCCAGCCATCTTGCGCAAATCGTCAATATCACATAACATATCAAATAGGTACTATTTGTTTGTATTTAGTACTCGTTTGTAGACGAATAAAATCATCCTAGAAATACTTTTAACCCAAATGGTAATCCTCCTGTAGTCTGCTTTCTCAAGATAGTAAATCACAAAATACGACTATCACAGGATGCACATTGCACATACATGGATGGATTAACATTATAAACATTTTTTGACCCATTAAAAGGTCGGTATTTTTGACCTTCTGTAGACCTATGACCGTAATCAATCCCTAGTCACGCAAGATCGCTTGAAGCACGTGGATGTCGTTCTCACGCGACATCCGATAACAAATATTCATTTTTCTTACCATTATTTCATTTTTATAAATAAAATAGATATGGCGAATTCAATAGAAAAAAATACTGAGGGATACAGCAGATGATTAAAGCCGACATTAACAATAGCGAAACTGCGTACTAGCCATTAGGTACTTGCCGCACTAGGTACCGAGTAAATACTAGGTAAACCGGCGGCTTTGGTGTGTATACACCCTAATATTTTATTAGTTTCAACTGTCTTGCTACGGAATATTTTGTGCGC